GGTGTTGCTGATTTGCTCCAGGTTTCATTTAATAGTTCTCCAAATTGTAGTCGTGTAAGTTTTCGGCCAGGATGATTTTTTAACCATTTAGAAGCAGCATTTGAAAAATTATGTTTTACCGATTTAAAAACAGCCCGATCTAGAGGCTGTAGATAATGTGTGGTATGACTGGGAAGACAAATAATTAATATGTTTTCAGATTGCGCAAACTCAAGCATTTCAATAGAATTGCAATGAGAAGTATGGCCATCTAGTATCAAAGCTACAGTTCCTACTGGCTTTCGAGGAAAAAAATGCGTTCTGAGCCAATCAAAAAATAATGTCGTATTTACATAAGCTGATTTTTCAGACATGTAAACAACAGATCCTGGAGGCATACCATCTTCGAATTCTGGTTTTTTGTTTTTGCCTTTCATTATACAAGCCGGAGGAAGAAATATACCTTCTGCATTACAACAAGTTATTACTGTTATTGTTTCTCCTTTTTCTCCAGAAGTTACGGAAAAAACAGATTTTGAACCTTTTTCGGCAATAACATGACCAGGACGATTATTTAACTGTAAGCCAGTTTCATCCATATTATAAATAGAACCTGGCTTATTAAGCAACCCATTTTGTTCAAAAATTTCTCCTAGAAGTTTAAAATATTCGCTTACTTTTTGCCTATTCATACAAAGACTTCTAGCAAGAGATAAACTTTCAGATTTGCGTACAGAAATATCAGGATGTCTAGACAAAAATGAATGAAGCCAGTCATATCCAGCTTTCTGAATATTATCATTAAATCTATGTTTGATTTTAAGCTGACTGGCAAAGTTATAAGCTAGTGTACGAAGATCATCTCGAGTAAACGGAAAACCATGCTTCTGCATTGTTTTAATATGTTGCACTATTTTTTCTTNATTTTTCTTTCCAAATATGCAGGTAGGTCCCATTTTATCCTTTATTACCTTGCCAGATTTAAATCTTCTTTCAAGAGTTTTTCTAGGAATACCATTTTGAATGCTTGCTTGACGTATAGAAATGCCTTTTTGAATGGCTTCTATGGCTGCAGTTAATTGATCTTGCGACCATTTACCTCGATCTGAATTTCTACTTTTCTTTGGCATCTTTAAAAACACAAAACTACTGTCACCATTTATATAATAAAATGTATGACAAATATTAAAATATTTACTATCATAGTAATNACACATACTCTTATCGATAATAATCTATCAAATGTATTAGATGCATGGATTGCCCGATATCGTAATGCGCTATCAGATTGAACGACAAGATTCTAACCTTGTAATTACGCACGTTATAACCTCAACATTTACGAAGTAAATATCGCGATAAATTATAACAAAATTAAACTAAAAAATTACACTACTTTTAAATTATAATACTTACTTTTATTGCACATGAGTTAAAGAATACAGAAAACAAGGTGATAGTGCGCAGATGTAGTGCACTCGTGTGCTGCGGTTCTCTGCGTTGTGCACATGCGTCGTGCACAAAGATTGTGGTCATCTCACCATGACAAAAATGGGCCATCTTTCCCGAAGTGTGAGGAAAAGATGACCATAGTATTTATAAATAAATAATGAAAATAAAAATACAAATTATTGGTTACATTACAATTTATGTACCTTTATTATGTATGTAATATTGATTACGGCAGCTTAACTGTAATGTATTCGACATTGTAGCAGCTTTTAGTAGACATATGCAAAACTTTGCAGGCAATCGAAAGTAAAAATATTATATACTTTTCACAATATTGTTATTTTAAATAGTGTACGCACATAAACTATTGTAAATACTGATTATCTTTAAGAATGGCTACAAAAATGCACTATTAAACAATTATTGGTGAAATTACAGTCTATGGCCATCTTTTCCGTATGGCCATAATACCCGGGTTTACCCTATATTTTGCCATTCTCTCTCTTTTTCCGAAGCTCGTGGATCGCGCCGATCAAACACTCGCGCATACGATTATATCGTCGTGCGCGCTTTTGTATTAAAATCCCGGAACCCAAAATATGATTAATGAACGAACGAAAATATTTTTCGAAATCGAGAAACGCGTCATTTAATTTCGAGCGTGTGTGTTCAGAATTTATTTTTCAAGCGTCATTTATTCGCGCGAAAGAGCCATTCTTGATTGTTGAATCCGCACATTTCGCGAAACACCCTGACTCCGGATAATCCGGATTCTACACGGCAAATTGCAGGCTCATTGCGATGAATGCTAAAAAAAAAAAACAAAAACAAAAAAAAAACGAATCGGGCGCGTACCAAAAGCGGAAGGGATGATCGCGAAGAGGGTGGTTGCCGTATCGTGTTCCTGCAGTTTTGTAAAGGAAGGACACACAAGGCATAATCGGCGCCGTGGTCTCCCCACCGTGACGGCGCGAGAGAGGGACGTCACTTCCGACGGAAAAGCGCACCCCTCCTCTCCCCTCTACCCTCCCCCCGTGCTCCTCCGCGCCACCTTTTGTATTATTCGGCACACGAGTGTGTTTATTCTCACCCCCTTGTTGGAAACAAACGTGACAACGTGTTGTGCGCGCGGCAACCCCACAACACACGCCTCGCAGGATTTCCCCTCCGGTCCGTTTCCCTCCCTATTAGAGCAACGGGCGGGCAAAGCGTGACGTCGTCGTCGGCGCGTCCAGTCAAAAGGAGAAAACGGCGAAGGAAGAAGAACGCGACGATCGATCGCGTTATTTGCGCTCCGGAAGAACTTCCGGTCAGCTTGCTCGCGATCGGCCGCGAGCCGACAGGAAGCACTCGACGGTGAGGATGAATCCTGACTGACCAGAAACTCACTTCCGGCTGGCTTAACCGTCGGATAAACGCGCGAATGGACTGGAGAACGCGATGGTCGGTGCTCGAGCGAACCACAACAGTGAGCAGATGAATCGGACAAGCTGAAATTCTTACTCGCGTATATATTGGCGTATATCGTTTAACGTTAGCGAGAATCTCTTGTATTTCCAAAAAAGTTTGTTAATTCTATTCCGAATTATTTTCAAATCCAGCTGATTTTCATAAACATTATACATGACAAAAAAATTCCTCAAAAGACGTTTTTGTTATCTTTCTTTAGTCCCTACGATATTTCTTTGAGTAAAAAACTTCGTCTAACGAAAAGTCGGAATAAAAACTCTTGACAGTATCTCGTCGTGTTACGCGGGGATTTTTTTCGGTGAAGACGTTGCTTTGTGCGTATACGCGCATTCTATCTACGAGATGTTACTATTACGTCTTATATGATACTAACTCACGCAAGAGATATTCTCTGAGCATCCTCTCGAACGCGCGGTACTCACCTGAAACAAGAAAGAAAATCGGGGATTTTAATAAGCGATGCATAAAAACTTGAGAAAAAATATGAAAGCACGCCGTAAATAATTTATTTCACGTTTAAGCGCCCAGCGCTTATCTCGCTTTGCAGTGCGCCAACTATCGCGTGTATACGAAGAAAAATTTCCGCAACACGATTAATAATAGACTTATTACAAATATCAGCGCGTTTTCGCTCTGCGCGCGCGCGCGCACGCGCGGTGTCATCACCGCGTAAAACATAATATTCTCTGATATTTATCTTTCAACCATGAGCATTGTTATCTAGCGGAATAATAAATACGCTATTAATCATATGTTTGCTGATTAATAAGACGAGGCGGGCACGACTCGTGTCGAGATAATCATCGTATCAACGTAACATCCATCAGGAAGGGAGCAAAATTCTATTCCCGTCATTTTCACGTGAGGATTCTCGTTGTCCCGTTTCGCGTCTTCTTTCGCGAAAATACGCGCGCATATGACGCGCGAAGAATAAATTAGAGAAACGCGCGCTCGTGACAAGTACCAAGGTGTCAAAAGAAAGACACGGGAGAGGAAGAGATGAACGACGATCATGGAAGTACGCACAGACGTGTGACATCTTCCACGCGATACCAACGCGAGCACGCGGAGGTCAAGGACACCGATGCACCTCTCGACTCTCTTACATACGTATATATATATGTATATATGTATCTCTTTGTCGGTGCGAAGAGGTCCGCGTACGATCTCTTGATGGAGCCGGGAAGTTTTACGAGTGCCTCCTTGAGCGAAGCCGCGGGATACGGGCGACCAAACCGAGTCCGAGGGCGGGAGAGAAGTCGAGAAAGAGAGAGAGAGAGAGAGAGAAAAAAAAAAGAAGCCGCTGTACTTCGGCAAATTCGCGAGATGTCGGGCCAGCTTGTTCGGACCCTTGGTATCAAGTTCTGCGGCGCGGTGGATATCCCTATCGCGATCCTCGACATTCCATCTGTACGGCCGAAGTTATCCGCCTCTTACGAAGAGGACAGGATGAGAGAGAGAGAGAGAGAAAGAAAGAAAGAAAGAGTATCCCGGACGGAGGATCCGTTACCGGATTATTCATGAATTTCGAACAGCGTCGGGAATGAAACTTCGGAATAAACGAATTTTTGAATGTTACCGCATTAACATTTTAATTGCGCATATTATATCAGCGTTCCGCGTTCGAGGCAATATTTAATCCTTCAGTTTGTCTCGGAGAAGTGTCAAATATTGTGTAAACTTCTAATTTCCTTTTTCATTCCCGTTAATCAGGCCTACATCGAAGATATATGATAATTCAAAGAGATAAGTCAAATATATACGCCATTAATTTTCTGAACCCTGACTCAATGAGCAATTCAAGTCTAAGTCGCGGCACGAACCAAAGAATTAAAAGACAGCTGCGACGGAGAACGCTTTTCTCCGCCATTTGATTGTCGATAAAATCATAGTGGAAATAAGGTGGCGCTCTCTCTCTCTCTTTCTCTTTTCATACCTGTGCCTCGACATTTGTATATACACGCGCGTTCATTCTCGCGTGGATATTGCACGCGTGCAACACGTCTCTCTGTATCGGAAAATTAATGAGCAGTTTCCTGATATAGCAACCCGACCATTTCAAATGCTCAACTGTCATCAAACACGACGCAAAGCAAATTCGATTCGACACGCTTCGATCGACCATAGAGAGCTCAGGGAATTCCGAGCGATGGAAAATGCGAGCGAGCGGATAGAACGCGGAGAAGAAATTCCGTTGCGGCGATTAGCATTTGACCCCTTTCACGACTCTCGAGAAATTGATGACGGCAATATCGAAAATATCAATATATATATCGGTCGTATATATTTAATATAATAGCCGTTTTCATTATATATATCAAGTTCTTCTTGGGGAGAACGTTTTTAAATATACTGTCGCGCGATATTTTATTAAAGCATCTGTCGTCGTGCCGGTTACATCCGATGATTAAACAGATCGTTTCTCCCAAAACCGAAGATAGGAATTTGCCATAATCTCGCGAGTTAGCGCGAACACAAACGAAAGTTCGAATTCAGCAAGATTTTCTCTCCCTCATCCCTCGAGATTTTCGCTGATCACGCGCCCGCGAGAAAGGGAATTCCGCTCGTTCTCTGAATAATTGCAGGCGGCAGTAGACGGAAGGTGGTACGAGAGAGAGAGAGAGAGAGAGAGAGAGGAGAGAAGGTGAAATCGCGCGGGCGAAACTTCGCGTCTATTATTACCACGATCGCAAGAATGCCGTGGCTGCCGTACAGCGAGGCGAAGAGAAACGGCAGGGCTCGCTCGTGAGAGAGCCGGAGAACGCGTAGACGAGGAAGAGGGAAACGAGCGAGGAACGAGCGGGCGTAGAAAACGAGAACGGACGAGGAGGAGGGGAGGGAGGAAAGAGAGACAAGAGGGAGAGAGAACAGCCCCCTACTTACGTAATTTTAAATTAAACTGTGACGTTTTCAAATTAACGTTTTTGCTCGCCCGCTCTCTCCATCTACTCTCTTTCTCCATCTACTCGTCTTCTCTCGTCTATCCTCTCGTTTTCTCTCTTTCTCGCTCTGCCTCCAGCGTTCCAGCTTTGAGGCTCGCGCGCTAGACCCAAGGTAGAAACTTGTGATATTACGCCAGGGTTTTTCCGCCCCTCTCTCACACCCTTCGCCTTCTATCTCCCTCCATCTATCTCTTGTTCCTATGCTACTCATCGTTCTCTTCCTTCATCTTTCTCTCTCTCTCTCTCTCTCTTTCTCTTTCTCTCTCCATCGACCCCGAGTCCCGAGCGCGGAAGCGCGCGTAATTTAGGTACCAGGAAATTGGTTTTCTCGACAATGAAATAGAAGAATGCGATGCGACAAAGCCCCGAAGAGGCCTGAAAAAAAAAAAGGGAGAGAGAGAGAGAGAGGTGTCTCTTGCGCGAGCGAACACGGCATGACTCACACAGTCCGCGCGCACTTACTGCTCGTCGCGGCAGTTGCAGTAATTGCAGTATAGCTGCACACTCGGGCTCTTTATTATTAAGGTGCGAGAGAGGGCCGCGACGGTTGAATGGGGAAATTTCGCGTTAACGTCGCCGAACGGATTTCCATTCACGGCCGCGACGATGGTTGCGCCGTCGTCGCCGGAGAAACGGAAAGGATCCATTGTCCCGCCGTGACGTGTCTCGCGGAAAAAGACTGAGCCGGCTGACACGGAGCCCTCGGATTCGCGCGGCCGCCGGAAAGTACGCGGGCGAGCTCTGAATCCACTTCTGTATCCTAATTTGGAGAACAAAAGAGCCAGTCCGCGAGATGACATTTTTGTCGTGCCCGAAACTAAAAAGAAGAGAAGCGCAAGAAGAGAATTCTCGCGCATTCGTTGTAACGTTTCTCGCGAGTGAATCGAACAATCTCGATTAGAATGTTTTTTGTCTCATCTCGCTCTTTTGCGACAATCAAAGACGAATTCGTTCTCGCAAAAAGCTTCGACCGGCGCGGATATCGCTCGAACGGTGGAACTTGAAACACACCTTCCTCAAACCGACCAACCGATCA